ATAAAAGCATAATAAAACAGGTCTAGGGACATACTGAATGACATTTTTTTTAAAAGCATAATATTTTTTAGAAGAAGTCAGGAATAGGCTGTGGGTACAACTAGCTTTTTAGAATGTTCACCTAAAGGTAAATAGAGCACCCATGGGTGCAAGAAACCCCTCAGCATGGTCCTTCCCGGGACCTTGGATCTGCTGTTCTAGCTACAACGATGGACACAAAGGAAAAGGCGCACAGAGAAGAGAACTTTTTTACTTTTTTTTTTTTTTTTGGTTTTTCGAGACAGAGTTTCTCTGTGTAGCCCTGGCTGTCCTGGAACTCACTCTGTAGACCAGGCTGGCCTTGAACTCAGAAATCTGCCTGCCTCTGCCTCCCAAGTGCTGAGATTAAAGGTGTGCGCCACCACCACCCGGCCCAGAGAGGAGAACTTAACACTATATTCTAAGGCTCACACAGATTTTAAGAGAAGGGAATTTCTCTTACAATAAAGCTTAAAACAATAGCTTTTCTTTTGCTACAGTAACTAAAAGTTTTTACTTTCATTAGCCAGTAATCTGTAACTATCCCTTTCTGTTCCATTGCCCTTTGGACTGTGTGTGACTGCAGCAAAAGATTGCTCCGGGGTGCTCTGTCCTTGAGGGTGCCTTGTCCTCTTGGTCTCTGTCTTTCCTGCTCCTTCCACACACTGTCTGAGGATATCACCACTGTTGATTTCCCCACAGTTCCTCACTTGAAAATCAACATAAGCACCACCACTGGAACATGAGCCACAAAGGGTATGATAAGGTTATTTTACAAGGCACAAAGAAATTGTTCATTCATTCATTCAGCCAACACCACATGACCATCTGCTAGCCACAAATACCATGCCAGACGCAGTAATGCAATTGAGAGACAGAGCTGTGCCTTAAAGGAGACCACAGCAGCAGATGAGGGAGCTGAGCTGAGCACAGATTATGATGCACGGAAGTTGTTGCTTTTGGAAGGGAAGAAAAACCCATAGCAGAGTTTCTATGGCTATGTGTAGGAACTAGCCAAATGGAAAAGAAAGGATTCCAGAGGAAAAGAGACTTCAGGAGTATTAGGGAACATAGCAGACCGGGAGAAGTGCAAGCAACTTGTCATGCCTGGACGGCAGGGTACATAACGGGAGGGGAAGAGAAAGTAAGAAATGGGCCATCCTGGGCAACCAAAGACAGTATCCCAAAACATGCTTTTGAATCTTAGGACAAGTCTTCACTAGAGGGTTTTGTAAGTCATTGATATTTATTCCCACACAATTGAAATTTAAATTCCATAGTGCTGCTTAGATTCCATTTTAGGCTTGGTAAACTGCCACGAGCCTCTGGACTTCTCCATAAAAGCAAAAATTATGAACTTTTGAAAGAAGTATGTATTCCTCAAACCAAAAGCTAGACCCATGAGACTGAGCTAGGTCTAAGAACTATATGTAAATAAAAGGACCGATATCCCAAATTGGAAGAAAAACACTGCTCTCACATTTGCAAGACATGTCCATATTTAAATTCTAACTAAGTTTCTAGACAGACTCCTTAGCTGGACTTTCTCGGGCTATGTCTTTGGCCTGGAGGCCTTCTCAGGTCCCTAGCAATTGTTTAATATGCCTATCTTATCCTCCTTCCCAGCCAGAAAAATTTAAAAGGAAAATGTGTAGCACAAACAAAGCCTTAAATCTTATCCTAAAAATCTGATAATGGCATCACCAGCAGACATCTCGGGTCTTGGTCTCCTGCATTCAACAAACAGACTTAAAATTTATTATACTACTCCATAGGTCATAAGCATTCTGAGTCACATCATATAAAATATTTTTAGACATTTTTAAGGAAAGGTCAGCTACACTTCAGTCTCCTTCCTTTTATAGTTATGTTTACCCTGGGAAGAATTTTTTTTTAATAATCTGGAATTTGCATTTTCCATTTATGACCAAAACACAAAACCTTGAAGGTACCAGGGCTGACAAGGGGGCTTTCTCTTACTTGTTTCTGCTGAGTCCAACAAGACCCTGCACAAAACTGTTGAAGGCAAAGTCACTCTGAGGTCTGTGTAAGAGCAGATATATCACCTGCCTGACGATGACCCTGCGGGATAGGAAGGAAATTCTATGACAGCAGTCTGGTGATCAAAGGGTGTGCTCTTGAGAAATGGAGTGTGGAAAAAGGCCCTGAACAGATTTCAAGAGGCTCCTGCCAGCACCTCCAACAGCTTCTGCCCTGGTAACCATTTGGCCACTTCGGAGCCTGCAGGGCCAGTGTTTACCAAGCCCAGACATGCACGAATGAAGAAGGAGCCAGGTGGCCCACCTGTTCTGATAAGGCGGTTCTTTGGAGTTAGGTTTCTATTCTGCTCCCAGATGGATTCCATCAGAGTTTCTCCCACTCTGGAAAATAAGTAGTAGGAGTAAATATAATTGTATTTCATTTTTATTTAAAACAGAAATTTGGGAATTAAACATTATCAACACAGATTTAAATAGAAGGAAATCTAAAGGCGCCAAGTTCCATGCTAAAAATCTGATGCTCTCTCCACCTTCCAGTGTCTGAGTGTTTGGTGAAGAACGCCATGACTTGAAGAAGGCAGAAGGGCTGAGGATAAAATCCGTCTAGGCAGGGTTACCTCTGAATAGCCTGGTTATCTAGTGAGGAACGCTATCTCCTCACTAAAAGCCGGCGGTTAGATTAATGGAAGCATTTGAAAAATCTGCTCAGTCTTCCTGGTGGGCAGCCAGGGACTGTGTTTTCTGTTTATCTCTATAGTGGCAGACATGTTCATCACAGAAAGGCTGTGTGCGATTTCAAGCAGCCGGAAGTAGAGCTGAAGTAGTGTGAGGTCTTTGGTTGTGCACAGCAGCTCCTGAAACAGGAAGAACTCTCCCACCCCCTCCATTGACAGTCTATGGCCTGGGTTGCACAAGAGGTGGACCTCCCCTTGTTGCTCTAGAAGGGAGTTTTACCACTCCCCCCCCACACACACACACATTGCTTTATCTCACAGAAATGCAGCTGGAGTCTCAGCCCCTCCTTGACAGCACGGACCTCAGTAAATTACCAAGGTCTTGACCCAAGAGAGGAGAAGCCCTAAGTGATTTTTCAGCCTCCTATCTAAAGATGTGTTTACATTTCTTGAACTCAGGCTGACTGACTCACTCTCCTGCTGTTGCAAGAACTTCCCTTATGCATCAGGATTTATATATTTCATTTCTGAAAGATCCAGGATCCTTTCTAAGCCACTGTGAAGTGAACCTCATCACAACAGAACTCTGTTGGGTGGCTCTGTCCAGGTGTAGTGTGGAAGGAAAGCACAAGACACAGCTCAGGACATCTGGGGTCTGGTTTCTGGTCCCGCTATTTTAAGGTGTAGGCTTGAGGCTACAGAAACACATTCTCAGAGCCTCAGTTTCCCCCATTCGATTTAAACTTAAGATGTGTTTTAAGTTTATACAGTAGCCATTCTCAAACAAATCAGGAAGAAAACACTAACTGAGGAAACAGAGGAAAAGATGAGCCTGTAAGAGACAGATACAGTCTTAGAATCAAAAATGATGATGAGGGGCTGGAGAGATGGCTCAGAGATTAAGAGCACTGACTGCTCTTCCAGAGGTCCTGAGTTCAATTCCCAGCAACCACATATGGTGGTTCACAACCATCTATAATGGGGTCAGATGCCCTCTTCTGGCACAAAGGCATATATGCAGTCAGAACATTGTACACATAACAATTAAATAAATCTTTAAATAAAAATAAAAACAATGAGAATACAGGTTGTCCTGTGGCTACAGGTACCTCAGGAGCGACTGATGAGTGTTGAGAAGAGGAGGAATACATAAGTCTCAGGGAAGAGACTAAACATCAGCAGAGCCACATGCACAGATAAATTTCATTCCCTAAATGAACATCCATTCATGAACGTTACCATTGCCCTGTCTTACAGCACCATGGAGTTTGAATCCACAGATTCAATCCTTCCATAAAACTTTACCAGTTGGAAGCTGGGTATGGTGACAAGTTCCTATAAGTTCAGTACTTGGGAGATAAAAGAAGGAGGATGAGGAATTCAAGGTCATCCTTGGCTACAGATAGTGTTTGAGGCTAGCGTGTCTACATGAGACCCTATCTCAAAATACCAAAGAGGAGGGTGCAGGGGGTAGAGAATGTTCAATGGTTGTTAGGAACACTTGCTGCTCTTATGGGGGACCTAAGTTCAGTTCCCAGTACACACATCAGGTAGTTCACACCTGCCTGTAACTCCAGCTCCAGAAGGGTCTGACACAATCCTCTGGCCTCCATGGGCACCTGCATCTACAGATACAGACCTGTGAGCATTGGCACACACACACATGTCATTTTAAAATTAAGTAAATTGTAAAACTACAATCTCCATCAGTTGCATGGCCAGTTGTGCCTCTGGGGTCTTAGCTTGCACAGCTGTGGTAAGCTGTCACAGGGACGGTGACAGAAATTATAGGCTAATGCTATGTTGGCTCATGTGGAGGGTGTCATTACGTCCCACAGGCACAATGGCTCACTCTGCTGCATCATCTCGCTCTCCTATTTGGCCTCCACCTCTGAGGAGCAGGGGACACCTCTCATCTCTCCCTGAAAGCTTTCAGAAGCATTTTCCTATTTCAGCAAAGTGTGATCATACAAAGTTTATATTCAACAGCATCAGCAGTTTTGCCCCATCAATATTTCTTTTTTAATTTCAGCTTTATCTGAATTCTGATAGCACAAAGAATCTACTTTTGCTCTTTTAAATACCAATCAAAACAAGAAAGTCTAAATTTGAATATAAAGCTTAACCCCACTCAACAAGGTGTTTCAACATGTCTCCAGAGACTATGGGTGATACCGGGTAATGGCGTAGGTGTGTTTTATAATCTTTAATGCACATGAGCTGAGCTCGTATGGATATGGTTTGTATGAAAGCTCATGAGACCGAGATCTGACACCTTGATGCCCTTTCTTTCTGATTTTCACTGTAGCAAACACTGGAGTCAGAGCCAGTCTTCATGGGAATCTTTATGAAACCTCCTCACGTTTGGCTCAAGCAGCAGAGAGTCAGGTACAGTATTGACTCTGAATGAGCACAATGCTGGGAGTTAAGACTTGTCTGGGGTTCTTGTCCTAACTTGCTGTGTGACCCTGAGTGAGCCTCTTCATCTCCTTGGGCCTCATTTGTCTCAAACTGTACTGTCACCGGGTTCCTTTACTCTCAAGCTTGGAATTTGGATTCTAGTGTGTGTGTGAAGAAGCAAAGCAGACTTTCCTCAAACTTCTGCAAAGTCAGAACGAGAATAAGAATATAGACATCAGCAGCCCCAACCAGAGGATCACATTTTCTTTCCAAATCAGGAGAGAAAATAGCGATTGAGTTTGTTGTTGCTGGTTGGTTTTAAGTCATCAAGGATAAGGGGCTGGGGAGATGGCTCCATTGATTAAGAGCTGGCCACAAAGGCAAGGTCTGAGTTCAGATCTCCAGACTCCACATAAAAAGCCTGGCAGGTACAGCGGCATACATCTGTAATGGAGGCGCTGTGGGAGGTGATCAGGAGACACTGAGCAGCCAGCCCAGCTGAATGGATGAGTCCCAGGTTCAGTGAGAGACTGTTTCAACAAATCACATGGAGAACAATAAAGGGAGACACCAGATGCCAACCTCTGGCCTCCATACACATGCACACCCACGGGCACGTACACCACACGTGCACACACACCATGAACACATACACCACACACATGCACACAGCTAGGATAATTATGAAGAAGGAAAGTGCTAATTTGGATGGCTTGAGAATATCTAATGTTTCCAGGGATGTGTGCAGACTTATTGGTGAGTGGACCTCTATCTGAAGCTCTGAGGGTGACATTCTCTTCTGTCTCTCAAGAGAAGCTAGTGCGGGGTCTCTAGCGCTGAATCCAGGGACTGGGAATACCTGAGGCAGATGCTACAACACTGCTCCAGGGGACTCCTAGGTCCCTCCCCTGTCTGACAACCTCGAGGGCAGGCTCTCCAGTCCTCTCTTATCTCCAACTCCTGCTGCTGCTGGCTTTTCCTCTCCTCCCCAGCACTTGGTCACAGTCAGAGCAGAGATGAGTCTGTTTGCACATATGTTTGAACTGACCTCTCAGGTTAAAATGCCAGGCCTGAGTCAGGCCCCCACTAAAGAAAAGCATAGCTAGACCACTTTTCCACTACTGAAGAACCACAGACTCACTCACACACACACTTGTGTGTGTATGTGTATGTGTGTGTCTTGTTTGCCTCCGTTGAAGACACTCTACATAAAGGATCTGAAGACCTTAAGTAATAACAATAGTAATAATAGTTAGAGAGCTGTGACTAAGAAAATACAAAATATTTTGCAAATCCCATAGCTCCAAAGGCCATGCAAATAACCCAGTACTCCCCACATGATCCAAACTCATACAGCCGTATGGCTCTACTAGAGGAGGCTTCAAAGATTGACCCAGCTATGACAAATTAACTATAGACTAAATTATGAATTTTTCAGTCAGACTGAACTTTGGGTCTTAAGCTCCAACCCTGGTTCATCTGCAAGGCCTTGGTAAGTTCACAGACTCTGGGACTACCTCATGCCTCCTTTGCAAAATGGAGAAAGGGTTCACTTCTGAGCTTCTTGGTTTGTTGGTGTCACCATAGCCTGCCTTCCTTTGAAAGGAACCCCCAGAGGAGAAGCCTTATGAAGAAAAGTCTAGGGAGCCCCACCAGCCCCCAAGCCAAGAAAAATAGAGTGTAGGGTACAAGGGACTTCCTCTTGCCTCTCTCACCCCTCCCCCTTCTTCTTGAGGCTCAGGGCCCTTTATTAGGTTAATCACTGCCTCGGATTTTAACTACTTCCTCAACCTACTCCACATAAATGACTAATTTTATGTTTACTATAAAGCATCTGGAAAGGATTTAGAAACAAATTTCTATCCAGCAGACTTCAGTTACCTACCGTGATGGGCCACTGGCCCAACCCGTAGCCTTCCAGCCTCTGCTAGGGCTTTCTTGCTCTGAAGCACAGAACCGACTTGCAGCAGAGGCTGCCGATGTAGCAACAGCAGTAGCAGCAACAATTACGCCCTTCTTTCTTTTCTATTAATCCCTACTGACTCAGTTCCTCCCTCCATCTTTTAGGGCCTGGTCATGTAAGTTCACTCACACAAAGTACGTTTGATTTGCTGTTGTTGTTGGTTTGGTTTGGTTTGAAGTCACAGTGGTACCTGAGAATACCAACGGTGGAACCTTTTGGATACAGCAGACCTTTGAGAAGTCACAGGCCTAGACTGGGAAGTATGAGGGAGAGAAAGAAAGCCTGGTATTGCTGTCTTACTTCCGCCCTGGGGTCCAGAGGCTGCCCCCGTGCGCCCTCTCCCGGCAGTACTGAAAAACCTCTGCTCTGAGTCTTTAGTGGCTGCCTCACTGAGGCTGGAGCCGAAGCGAGGGGCTCCAGCCTCCCAGTACCATTTCTAAGAAAAGGCCCCGAGGCACCCCTTCTACACCTAGCCCGAGGTTCCAGGCCTCAGAGCTAAGTCCATCAGTGAACCGAGCGCCGCAGCTGCCATCAGCAACTTCCTTGGAGTTAGAAGAGGGGATAAGTCAGAGAAATAGGGGGAAGGAGGCTACAAGTAGCGTGGAGATGAAAAGAACGATGAAAAAAGGGAAAGGAGACAAGCAGACGTGTTTCAACTCCAAGCTCCCATTTCCCCTTTCAAATGAACGGCCTCCCCACTGTGAGCAGAATCAAGTATTTATGAAGGCATTTTTTGCATATTAATAACTGTGCGGGGATGGAGCCGTGCCAGCTCTTAAGTCCTAAAGGTATGGTGCCCTTTTGAAAATACAGGTCTTTCCAGCTCCTCATAGAATTTGGTTTTCTCCTTCAGATTTATTTCCCCTTCTGCCTTGTGGGTCCTCCTGGGGCCCTACAACTGATTAAGAGAAATTAGTTCCTGGGCTGCTTTCAGAGCCCAGGACTGCTCTTCCCTCTGCAGGTCTCTGACATCAATCGCAGGCTGCTTTTCCTCTTCCCCAGGGCCTCTTCGGAGAGGCTTGAGGTTGGGTGGGGCGCCCAGCACCTAGAAAGAATGTTAAAATTGTAAATGAAAGTTTCAGAAGGAGATGTTAATACATCCGTGCAGTAAGAGAGGAGAAAGTCAAAAATAAAAATATGCAATTATTTCATTAACGTTAATAGTACCGTCTATCCTCGGTGGAGATGGTATTTCATTTTTAAAAGAAAAACAGAGTTAGAAACGTAAGCAAAAGACATAAACAATTTATATTAAAATAATAGTAATAGGCAAGAATGTGAACTATAGTTTAGTAGCAGGGCTTGACTACCATAGGCAAGGCCCTGGGTCTGATCCGGAACACCCCCCCCACACACACACACACACAGGCACACAGGCACACAGGCACACACAAGGCACAGATGACTAGGGGGTGGGATGTAGTTCAGCTGGTTGAGGCCTATCTTAGAATGCACATGGCTCTGCATTTGATCCCTGGGACCACATAAAACCAGGCACAGTGACACAGACACACCTGCAATACCAGCCCTCAGAAGGTAAGGCTGAGAAAGTCAAAATCATCCAGCACATAGCAAGTCTGAGGCAGCCTGAGATATGTGATTTCCTGGAATCTGTGATTTAATACTGGGCAACATCAGGTTCCAGATCGTGAGGAGGAGCCGGCCTGGGCATTGCAAAATGCTGCCCAGATTGCACTCACTGTGTGCACTATTATGACAACCAAAGTGTTTCCATGCATTGCTAAATGGTCCTTGGGGAGCAAACTGAACCCAGCCACCCTCTCTTTTTTTCCTCCTCCTCTTCCTTGTCTTCCTTTTTCCTCCTCCTCCTTTCTTTTTTCCTCCTCCTCCTTTCTTTTTTCTTTTTTGTTGTTACTATTGTTAGTTTTTGAGACAGAGTCTTACTATGTAGCCCAGACTGGCCATTCTTTACCTCACTGAAATTATAGGCAAATGCCATCACATCCAGTTTAAATATTGAAAGTACAAATCAAAAGTCAGCCATGATTGCATGTATGGTTGTTGATTTTTGTGTTTTGTTCTTAAGCATCTGTAAAGGAACTTGAAATTAGAGTGCTCTGGGTTCAGACTTCACTTCGTTTCCCTGGGCTTGTTGTTTCTGTTCTCCCCCCTCTTCTTCTTTAGTCTATAAAAAAGGAAAGATAAAAAGAGTTTGTTAATTTTGTTTTTTTTTTGTTTTTTTTGTTTTTGTTTTTCGAGACAGGGTTTCTCTGAGTAGCCCTGGCTGTCCTGGAACTCACTCTGTAGACCAGACTAGCCTTGAACTCTCGAACTCAGAAATCCGCCTGCCTCTGCCTCCCAAGTACTGGGATTAAAGGCGTGCGCTACCACCGCCTGGCCAAAGTTTGTTAATTTTCAAGATGATAGTGACATACATACACATGTAATCTCCGGACCCTGGAGGCTGAAATGGCGGCGGGGGGGGGAGGGGAGTCTCTACTTAAAAACCAAACTGAGCACCCTGAATGGAAAAGTCAAAAAATCAAATAAGTAAATAAGTTTAATTTTTTTTGACAGGGTCTCACTATATAGACAATGCTGCATGCACTCTGACTCACAAAGATCTGTCTTTGCCTCCAAAGCGCTGAGGTTGGAATTCACTACCATGCCCAGCTAAATAAATAATTTTTAAAGTGACCATTACATCCAGGGGGAGCTAGAATGACCCAGGAGTCACAATGTCCAGCAGGAGTTCATGCGCAGCTGGGCAGCAGCGGCCGCAGTTCTTAACGCTGTTAACAAACTGAACATTAAGCTCACTGGTGTCATGCTGGTAAATAGGTATCTCAGCATTTACCTTTCTCAAGTTTGCATCTCGGGTATGAATGTCTCTCATCCACTCAGTTCTATGAAGATGGGACAAGTGGGCCTCTAAGCTCTTGTTCGAAGAGAAGCCAGAGAGGTTGCCAGTAGGATATCAAAGAACAAACTCAAACCTTAACTAGATTTCCCAAGAATCACTGCACACCTTTGTTTAAAATAAAGCAGCCAGGCTTGGTGATGA